CATTACGGCTTATCCTTGGAAGGACTGTATTCAATACAATTGACTCCTCTCGTATGGCCAGTCAACGAGAAGTGGGGTGCAGTAGATCCACTAGTCACTCCCCACACCTACCACAACAATCTCAACTCATCCAACATTCCACCATCACACTACCTTGATAGACCGATCCAAACTAGCCGAGGCGAAGATATTCATATCCTTAGGATTCCACTGTACCATCATAACATAGTGAGCATGTCCCTGAAGGGCACCAGTTCCTAATACCTACACCAACGATCGAACCCACCTCGTAAGTGGCAGTACACGCCCAGTCCTTATCCCAGTCCCAAAGTTTGATGGTCATATCATCAGAACAGGAAATGACATAAGGCAGAGTAGAGTGCACCGCTATGTATCGAATGTAGTCCCCATGAGCTTCGATGGTCTGATGGTTAGTATTGTTACATACGACAGTCACCGTCAAAAAAGAGGGCACGAACCTTGATTTTCTCCAATGTGTTTTGATTGTAAACACGAAGGTTCATATCATCAGATCCCGCGATTATCCATTGTTTCCTAGGGATAAACTTGGCGCATCGGACCTGCATTCACGAAGCCATACCACACCATGCGCACTTCACGAGCCGATCTCTCACCGGCAAAGGCGCTGAAACCTCAACCTGTTTGACCAAAGCCTGAGTCTTGTAGTCCCATATATAGAGGTTACCAGAATACATAGCGCTGAGTACCTACCACAAGGCACCTCCATGACAGGCCACTAGTAGCAGTGGTAGAGTACCCAGGGAAGGTCCGGACTAGGATGGAAGTCGACCGACTTCACTCGGTCCGACCGAGCGTTCATCTTCTTTTTAATATCCAAACGCAGCGGCATGATGATCACGAGTTGTTGATAAAAAAGGCCAACCGCCGGCTCAAGACGCAGGAAAAAACTGCACAATACAACCGCCTTTTCAGATAGGAAACTAATCAGTGCATCGCTGAACCCGAACCTGCCAGACTCGGATCCATGTAACAGCGTTAGCTCAGATGGACGAGTTTTCCCCTCATTCGACTATTATCTACGACACCGCATTCGCCCAAGTAGGCTCAGAAGGCGATAGGACAACCGGTTCGAGATGCACAACTCTGGATGCTATTATCGCTGGGGGATTAGTGACGGCACGATGAAGAAATCTAATCCACTACCCGACCAACGGAATATTATATAACTCTTCGTGATGATTCCCATATGATCTAAGATCCATTGCATTGACCGCTAGACCGATCACTGCTGAGTTACAAAAGGTTAAGTCGGCAGCGCTATAGAAGCAACTTTCGAGATACAACTGAGTTGTCATTACTGCAGTGTCTGACCGGGTTCGACGATTAATTCGGACGAAATAACCCACATGTGATGTTTTCGCGCACTTTCTACATCGGCGCAATTTGATCATTGTCAAGTTTGATATGAACTGTAGGTCAAGTTAACTTTCAGGGTGCCATAGATGAGCTGAAGCCGTGGGGAAAGACAGACTCTCCTTTCCATAGCACAAAGCCAGTCACAAGTATAGATTTGGGCACCGTGTCGGCAACGGTGTAGGCATTGGGGGATAAATACCCATGGGGTTCCGGTCGTTCGTACGAATGGAAACGGGCGCTAACCTCCATTTCACGATGGGACACAGGGCAAGATGAAAAGGCCTCGAGTCGGGACGCGTGCTCCTTGGGAAAGACACAGAATCGACATATTGCACATTTTCGAGGCGATATACTGGGCATGGATACTACTGAGTTGAACAACTCCTTTGATTGTCCATCAACCCATACAATGTTGATAGTGGAAACATCATTTTAGTTACCGGCATGTCACATGATTACAGAGATTAATAACGAGAGGGGTAACATAACAATTAATACTGAAGGGCCGTCGCCGGCCCCTCCCATCTGGGGGATGATCAGATCCGTAACCCAGAAGCCCTGAACTTTCATATTCGAGTCCACGTTGCGCATCACATCTTCGTTGTTCACCTGCGTGGTACTAGTCAGAGTAACACAGTAGCAGATACAATGTAAGCCTTACTCGAGTCGTAAAGGACCAGAAGGGCGGACTGCTGTTAGTAATAGGGCGGTTGACATTGGACATAGCATTCATGACGTCAACTCGCATAATATATCGATACCGTTGCAGACCAGCCCCCTGTGGGAACCGCACTGTGAGCACGTTGTCTGAACCTCCACACTAAACAGAACACGGTTGGACTCTCTGCCAAACGATGAGAGTCCCACCGTAGTTCCAACAGGAGGAAAGACGTAGTCGTCCGGGATCTCATATCCCGTAATAGCAGCGGCCTCAGGTTTCATGTCGAAATGAGAGCAATTGATAGGGAAAGCAAATCCCTGAAATGAACTATGTCGATCTTAAAGATACATCCGAGCTACCCATGGTGCAGCGAGGACAACTTCATTGCCGACGTCGGCACGGTTCATAATAGTAGAAGGGAGAAAATAGACGGCTATGTTATTCCGATGTCTCTTGTAGGTAAACTCCGGTACTATACTCACCTAAAAGCCGTCTAAGGGTCATTAGATCAAACCGTCATTGAAGATACCTCGACCAGGCCTGTGATGTCAAACCCGGGCACACCGAGGCGTATATCAATAATAAGTCCCGATGGAGATCGAATACGGAAGGCCCATGTATTGGGCTGTGGAGTGAACCGCGGGTTCTGGACATATCTATCATGATAGCAGCAACTCATTACAGCTCGACGACGATGACGGGTCTACGCTTTGATTTTGAATTCTTCCTCTGGTGCCTTCTCCTCCAGAGTATCGAATTTGAATTCAGCCTCGTGTAGGTTGGCCGAACAATTGGTCGCAGAGCTCAAGTTGACATAGGATGCCGATTCGCATGAGAATATGAAGCCCTACGCGGCTCCACTGTGACCGTCGCTGCTGCTGCTGTGATTACTCTCGGCGCCTCTATCATCACGGTCGTGTTGGCAGAGAGAACCTTCGTGCTTTTTATAGTGAAATGGACGAGGTTTAGGTCATCTCCCTGACTGGTCGTCTCGGGTTCTATTATAGCCGTGTCTAGCAGTGCCAGGTCGAAGCCTGGAACGTCCTAGATAAAGCACCAGGACCGCGAGTCAACCAAAGATCCCCACTTCCTCTAGATGTAGCATGACTCCTTTCGTGTGCGTCTCAAATCGGAAAACATTCTGACCGTCCGGAGGAAGGGTTGGGGGATTCATCGCGCCCACTTGGAAAGCGTAATTCAGGCCGGGGTCCATCTTCTCAGCTATCTTCACAAGAGAACACTCGCGCCGGTTACGACATCTTATTCGACCACTAGGTTCATCGATCCCGAGCGTCAGAGAATAACACCAATGCTGATACGCGGTCCTCCAAATCTCAACCGAATACGTACTTCCACACTTTACAACGCCTCTCGACGTACCATGGTGGGTTCAAGAGGCTCGGCGACTCACCGTCAAATCAATCAACATGAGACCTGTCCGCAAGTCGATCGTCGATTCACAGATGGTCCCCGCCGGGAGCCCCACGAAAGTCCTACCAGGTTCAAAAGGAAGGTCTGCCCCTACGTGCCTAAGAAGAACAGTTCTAACACCAACAGCATCGACTCGGCACCTGTGATAATCCAAGTCGAAGCTGCGGACAGCACAGCCATCGTCCACAGGTTCGAATCCTGGTGGGAACCATATTCTCAAATACGAAGTTGGACGTGCCTGAGATTGGCATCCTTGAACAAACCAATCCGTCAGAACAGCCTCAGTCGAGCGCTGGGGTAATTCGGTGACTTACAGCATCGCGCGGCAGATCAGAGTCCAATATGAAGGAAATTCCGATTGCGTTCTCAACTCCAGGGGAGTTTACACGGGACGCGACCTCGGCTCGACGGAATGAACTGTGTATTTTGAACCCAGGCACATCATAATTCACATCTGATTTATTATACCTATTCTGCAGCTAAAAAGGAGCCTTCTAAGATGCGCTTTTTACAAGCTCGACGAGTCCAATGACATCGTCTCGAAGCGCCAAATGTTGAGATCATCGGGTGGCGAAATGGATGGGTTTGACACTGTCATTGTCAAGACCAACTCGACCTCTCTCCTCAGAGGCTCGTCCTGACTCTCTATCAGTAGTTGATTGTCGCTGAGCCTGAGCTCGCTACTGATGGAATCACCATGTTCTTCTGCGTACCTCCATTCCACCGTACTCGGGAAGCCCCCACCGGTCGAGACCTCGCCAGATGTAGCTCCATCCGGGGCGAACTCCGACGGGAAAGTAATGACCAGTCGACAAGGTGGATCCACCTACCCGTAGTTGACGAGGCAGGGAGACAGGATTCTCACTTGCGTGGAGAGCCTCAAACGAATCTCGACGCGGTTTTCAGCAACGTTGACTTTTGTTTGCTCCGGTGACATCAGATGAACGTAGATAATACCGAGCTGGTGGAAACCGGTAGTAATCTTCTTATCGAGAGGAGTCTTCGCGGAATCCGAATCGCGGGTAATGAAACTCCACAAGTTACTCAACTGAGCTGAGCACGAGAGATGCTTAGAGGCCTTGTGAGCCAACCTGTGCACTTGCCTGCATGGTCGTCCACAGAGATGGGCAGATCCGCGTTATACCCCGTTACGGAAAACGTAAGTGGGGTACCCTAACCGCATGATGGACAACCACGGGAGATAGGCTGACTATATACCTTCTTCAGAACCGTAGTGGCACCTAGCGTGACCTCCAGCATGCCACCGCTGGATACGCAATACAGGACTTCATCATTGCCACGCTCGACGGTCAGAGTGTGGAAGTTGGCGTTATTGCAGAGATTCTCGAGTTCGTCACATGCGCGCTGGTAACTATTGGACAGCCTTCGTGTGAACCTCTTTTACTCCTCCTACGCTATGAGGTCCGAGGCATACGATGTCTGGGGTACTTGCTGTGTGATGGTCTCAACCTGGAGACAGGGTGTGAACGTAAACGGACAACTCCACTGCCCATCAGTGTCGCGTGGTGCTGTTATCTGAGTGCAACGAGCGTGACTATAGATCATCATATGCATAGTCAGCTATGCACTGATTCGAATCGACTCGGAAATTGGACACTTCTCCGTACCGAGCAGTCGATCTCCTGGTCAGGGGGTGGTCGAGGAACTGCATAACCAGCTGGTGGTGGTATGGCACTGGGGAAATCGGTTTCCGTTGTAGGATCTACTAGCCTAGGGCCGAAGTAGTAGCTCGTCACAGGGGCATGTATCAATATCGATCCCGATTCGGGTATCTGCCGAGCAGACTGTTCAAGGTTAGCAGTAAAACCACCGTTCCTACACGAGTTATCGGGGTAAGTGAGAAAGTGAAGGTGGTAAAAAGACCATATGCAGGGTTCGAACTCGCGACCGACGTTCCTTCCAATTCTGGCAGTATAGTGTAACCCGTTGCTGCCCATGTCTCTGGAGCACTCTCATGTAGCGTATACGCCTCGATACGCCATAGATTCACTTCTGGGGTGGATTGGGGGTTCACCACATTTGTCACTATTTGCTCATAGGTCGTTCCGCCCAGCAAAGACCTTCCAGTGCGCTCCTCGTCTTCGTTCTTCAACACTATCACATTATTCGAAGTGACGGTACAGGAGATGTGACTCGGCAGTTGAGTTGTGTCCAGTAGACTAGTCCGGGCAAATTCAGCCCTCAAGTCCAGGACGTTCAATAGGGTGCTCAAATCGGTGCCGGACGAGGCCTCCTCGATTTGCTGTGGTGTTCGATAAACACACGGTTGGCCAACAGCATCGACTATCAGAGCATCCGGAGTGGTAATAGTCACATTAGCTTGAGGTGGCAGAGCCTCGTACAATGAAAAGGATATCTTCACGACGGTACGGTACAGACCAACAGGGCTCAAGCCTTCAACAGAGAAGTACCGGGCTCGATGACGGATCGGGAAGCCGTACGTTGCGCCGTTATAATCAACCATAGTGTCATTAGTCAACAGAGTTTTCATTTCCCATTTTTTATCCTCTACCGTAAAATCTTCAAATGGGGTCGATGGATTCTCAATGAGTACTCTGAAGCCGTAGGTCCCGGGCTCCAGGAACGAGCCCATGGGCGTCTTCAGTGTGACAGTTCGAAGACCGTCACCACGACAGCTCGTACCAGATGGTAGCACACCAGCATCATCATTTCCCACCGAGTCAGTAGAGAAAAAGCGGCATACGGCAGGAAAATGGAAGCCCTGCGGCGCAGTGACTGTTATTACACCACCATTGAAATCAGATGTCGAGCTCGGCAACAGCGAAGTGGTAGTGAACTTGATACTGATCAGGTTGGGTGATGCCTCTCCTACTATGGAGTTTGCCGGGTTGTACGCAACGATATTCGCGTTGAGAATTTCCTGGATCTTCAAACCAGCAATCCAGTTCTCGCTCATCATCGTCACTCGAGGGTTACCGTCATCTTGAATCAGAATGTTCCAGTAGTTGTGCGCTGGTGTGACCAACGGGTTCGACACCCTCGCTTCAATAGCGTAGTCGCCTGCAACAAGGGTCCTCGGGAGGGTGACCTCAGCAGTGAAGTCGTTCACTGGACACACGCACGAAAGGTCCTCGAGATCAGGGAAGTCACCATAACGTGTTCCCATACTAGTGGTTCCGACTATTTCACAGCTTCGTGTGTCTTCGCTGCGGATCAGACTGAACCCTTTTGGAGCGACCAAGACCAACAGCCCACCAACAGGAGCGTCGATCGGCAAACCCATGACGAATGTGACAACGTTATCAGCGAAGCCAGCCCGACGGTCCTCTGTAGCTGGCAGGGATATATAGCGCGTCTCGGACATGCGCTTGGTAAGACGGAAGCCTGAGACCGTCTTCTCTTCAACAACCTCCCCACCGACTCTGGTGGACAGAGTAAAGTAGTTGCTGATTGAGTTGACAAAGGCAGGATTGATCACATCAACCACGAAGGAGTACTTGGTGCCTGCCTTCAGACCTTGGTCGGGATCATCAAAGTATCTGCCAGTAACAGTAGCTACTATGAAGGAGCAGTGACGTCGCCTGACCCACACGTGAAGCTTGTTCTTCTCGTCCTCCACTGAGTGAATCACAGAGCATTCTTTCTCGCTAGGAAGTTGCTGCGTTACGGTATCAGCCTGATCGATGTCAGCCTCTTTCAAAGGGCACAGGAATGTGAACCCAACGGGGGCTTGGACCAGCAACTCCGCCCTCTGGCCTGAGAAGTAGCATCATCTAGTCGGCATCGAAATTCATACTGGACTGTATAGTGAGCACATCAGTGGTGGGTTCGAAAACTATAGTGGTCGGATTGTCCCAAGCTTCCTCCACGGGGTTGTATGCTGTGATGGACACGTCCACGAGTACCTGCCATTCGCAAGGTGCAACTAAACCTCGTGCGCACCCCACGCGGAGCGTACTGACCTGCGTGCGAAAGCCCGAGGTGCCTTTACTAGCGACATTTTGGTAGGGATCATCAACATCCCCTGTGAGTCTATAGTGCTCAAGCCACCACGTATTTGATGCTGGGGACTCGGCTGGTATAGTAACTACCGCCTTGAAGCCGTATCTACATTGCGATGGGCACACTAGCGGCCTCTAACCTACTCGAATCCCGCCTGAAGATCGTCCGACAGGCGAAAAGAAAGGCTGTTGGGCGTCACACCCTCCACGATGGGTTCGGAAGTGGACATGTCAACAGCGCCAGTAACAGCAGCCGCCGTGGAGAAGGCCAAAGCAACAGCGATGCCCGCCGACCCTCCAGTGCCGTCACCAGTGTACCTCGGGATGAAAGTGCCCTTGCAGGTCGAGATTGCCTGCTACCAGTTGAGACCTTCCGGAGCCCTCACCCTGATGTAATCATCGTATGGTATGAACTCTGCCGGAGAGAAGCGTATGACTATCTCCCTGTTGCCTGGATAGCGGCTTGTTGGTAACACCACGAAGGTAGTGAACTCTCTGGGGTATAGCTCGAAACCCTCAATTTTGGCAACATCAGCACCAATACCATCTGGTCGTACTGTATAGACATACCAAAAATTCTCCAGCGTGGGTGGTGTTGATGTAGGATTCCCAAACTCCACATCGAAAACCATAGTGTTCCCAGCAAGGACACTAGCTGGTTGAGGGAAGGTAAGCGTCAGTTGCCTTGCTTCATCACCCTTGCACACGACATCAGGCATGTGCACAGCTTCAAATCTCGGGCATCGTTTCTGTACGGTGAAGCCTTGAGGAGCAATGATGAGCATTTTCCCATCATGACCAAGATCCTGCTTAGCAGTAAGCGTGAATCGTATAAGATTGGAAGCATTGCTGATCTGATTGGCGTGGGCCAGAGTGGCAGCAAGCATTTGAGAATAGACAGGGAATCCTCGAACATCTCTAGTGGCCGCTATAATGTTTGGGAAGGGCTCATTAGCATCCTAAATAGCTGTCGATGGAAAACTGCCAAGCGCCGACCCCACCAACCTTCACTGTGATTGTCCAGCTCTGCGCATTGGTTGCTTCAGAGGGATTTTCCACCATCAGTTTCACAGTGAACTGCGTGTCCTTGAAGGCGGTCGTCTGGACTATCCTCAGCTCCCACGTGTTATCGGCCACGTTCATGTCCCACAACCCTACCAAGGCATCCTCGCCGTCCACAGACTGGGGTGCTTCACTGTCGACAATCTGACGATCAGATACAGCAAAAACACCATGACCAGGGATCGAACCGGGGATCTAGGTCGCCAGACTGACCTTGAAGCCTTGTGGAGGTTCTATAACAATACTTCCAGCATGCGTCACTGTACCTCCTGATAAAGGCCGCAATGGCTGTAGCGTGTTGCCTGGACTGAACTGCATCGTTACCCATTGCCGAGCACCAGCCGCCTGAGGCGGCATCATCTCCCAGCCAACAGCGCAGCTACCAAGTACTTGGAACTGCCAAGCGACCATCTCCCCCTCAGGTTCACCAACAACATGGACTGGGCTATCTAACAGTACAGCGTGTGGGTAGAGGTCAACATCTTGGTTAGAGTCTCGAAGACTCATGGCCACCCACACCATATTCACCGCTGCCACCGGGTTGGGCAATCGAATCTGACTCGACCTCACGATTGGTCATGTCAATTTTCGAGCATGCTTTCAATGAGTCCTACTTGAAAATCGCTTGAATAGTCCTGGACTGTTGAAGAGCCGATAGATATTCTAAACCCGTTGGCCTGAGTCCCATCAGAACCCGGGTAAGCTCTCAGTGTACAGCTACTGCCAGGGATGAAACTCTTGTTGGAGTAACCATCGCAAGCCGCGCCTGGGTAACCTTACAGCAACCAAGATGGCAACGACGATGAGATTGAGAGCAAGCGGGGCTGTCGAGAAGTGCCTTTCTCACCAAGCCTCCACTTGTCCGTCGGATGAGCTATGATATCAATACTATAGCCGCTGTCCATAGTACCAACCGTTTTCATGGCGAACGTCATGAGCTGTACGGCCCCCGGCTGATAGGACTCCTAAGGGCCACCATTAGAAGCCCCTATTGATTTCGTCTAACCTGCGAGCGTAGAGTGAACTCAGTGACCCAACCGTTGGTGTTGGAGGCGCCATAGGTGTCGGCGTTCAACTTGACCATCCTCGTCAAAGTCCTGAGCGCCTCACGGAGAGCGACCAAGGCAACAGCAGCGGCTCACAATGGGGCTTTGGTCTGCTCAATCACGCGTAGTTGGTAGTATTCGATAACGAGGCTGAATGAGTTGGAATTCCCTAACAAGATACGCCTCAAGGTGGTTCGAGGTGATACGATGGTGTCACCTCCACTGTCTGGTAGCTCTACACTTGGCATCATCATAAGCAGCGTAAAACTATATCGAGTAGCCGCCTTCAGCCGTTGTTGTAACTCTATCCTCATCTCTGAAGGACGGATGCTATTATGTCCTCTCCATCAAGCCGAAATAACCATCTATATAACAAGGCTTGGAATCTAGCCTGAAAACGCTTTCGGCCGCCTTCGTTCGTCTGTGACGGGTATAGCAGCTATACTCAAGTATGATAGCTATACTATAGCTAGCAGGAGATCATCTCAACTTCAGCGACACTGGGATGTTGAGCCCCTCAATCTCTGAGGACTTGTAACGGGTGTGGCATGCAACAAGGGCTGTAATTTCTCCCACAGACTTCCCATCAGCGGAGAGCTGCCCACCTCTCGTTGAGAAATAGCAGCTAGACAGACCAGGAAATCCCGAAGTAGCATCGATAACACTCGCACAGTCCGATGCCTCCACGAACGTAGCATAGTCGAGAACAAGGCGTATCTACTCAGCTCAAGCAGGAGAGCTTTCTAACGGTGATCTCTGACCTGCATAGCAGCCGCAACACTATCATCAGCATAGTCCGGGTAGTCGCTGGTCGTGAAGGTAAACCGCACAGGACCCAACCTGCGGCAGTGATTGACTCATTGACGCCTGTCTGCCTCACCCATCAGTATCATGAAAAGCACATGTAGCGAATGGGTCCGTGGTAAAGTAGAGCCCCGATGGTGATAACGTGGTAGTAGTGGTTTGAGCAAAAGCCAGCGTAGCCCACAGGAGACTACAGCCTATGAGGAACACCATGTCTATTACAGCTGCTCAAACGCCTACTGTGAGTTGCTTAACATGGTAGAATTTGTGGTAGGGAATAATGAGTTTTATAACCAACTCAACATCGGGGTAGTGATGATGAATCAAAACAGGGCATTGATAATGATGACTTATGACGCAACAACTTCGACATAGCCTTCTGGGCATCCCTCCTCGTTGAGATAAGAATACAGCCTGATACCTACCGTCACCGCGCCACGAAATTGTCACTAACATCGCGTCCAACGTCCTCACACAGCTACTCTATTCTCTCCGCCTACTTTGCTACAACAGTAGGAAGTGACAAAGCAGCTCTGACTGTCTTATTGATATTGATGACAGTGTCGCGCCACGAGATTGTTGTCACTAACATCGCGTCCAACGCTCTCACACAGTTAAGGGATGGTCCATGCGATCGACAGCAATATAAACTTCCCCCTAGTTGAACCCAAGGTAAGCAGATCTGGAAACGGAAAGAATTCACAACCACAAACGCAGTAATAATAGCACTATCGGCGACAATGGAGTGCTCTCTAGAGCACTCTGTACGGAGACGTATAAGCATAAGTAATCACAGCAGTAAAACAACAACAAGATGATCAACTCAAATGTATCTAGCCCGTGGCACTGAGGTGTAGTCCTCCTCAGCCAGCGAGGAAGGCGGCTTGGCACTCAGTGACGGCGGTGCGTGCTCATAGTTGGGTATTCGAACATTGCGACCATCAGGCCCTCGAACGTAGGCACACCCCTCATAATCATAAAGGATATCCCCAGTAGCGAAGTCAGCTTGCCCTCCCTCTCTGTGACGTCTACATGGGAAACCCTATCACCCGAGAATTACCCACGTATGGCACCTACCTTGGGGTGAAAAGGGATACTATGAGGAAAGCTGGAAGGACCATGAACAGCCACCCTCGAAGAGGACTCATTCTATGCATATCATAGGCATATCTAAAAATGTCAATTCCTGAATCGCTTCGCTCCGCTGAGACTCACTGATCTTTCATTTGTTCCCCCCAAGCCATCCGCTATCTCTCCATACGTTGGCGTCGATACTCCATCTCGATATCATGAGCTCTCATTCGCGCGTGGAACCTGGAGCGCGGCCACCAGTACTGGTAAGGCAGCAGCCTCTTCATCGTAGACAAGAAACGTATCGGAAAAAGGGAACCTCCCAAAACCATGACATGCACCATTACTGTTTATACATTTTTCCAATACCATATAGGCTGGCGGGCGAACCACTACCACGTCGTGTTACAATGCAATGTGTATATACCATAGACGGACCTCGAGCAGAGATATCAGCGTGATCACCTTACTACTACCCAGCATAACTCTCCTTAGGGCCATGGAACCCCCCTTCTTCCCGTCTCTGCCACTATTGACCATAGGAAGGCTTGCTCGCTAACCAAGAGGTAATGGCCCATCCACATCGTAAACTCCCTACACTCACGGTATGCCTCATAAGCCTCCCTACTCCAGAACTGCTCCCCTAGGCCCCACAGATTGCCATCATCACGAACCCGACTTCCACTGTAGAATTGACCACCAGGAGACGACGAGGATGACGACGAAGGCCTTCTGCCGCTCGTAACCTCTCGTCGTATCTAACACTTCCCATACCATCTCTCTCCCAACCTGTCTTTAATTCAACCAGCATGCTCTCTACTCTCTCTATCACCTATGCCGCTGACCATCATCAGCCAATACGCTATAAGCCTCTTGTATCTCTTGGAATAGCTTATCAGCTGAGATCATAGGAAAAGTCCATGACATGACCGAACACCTGCACTACCTCCCATTGGGGGCTCTATTCACATCGGGATGGTACTTCTTAGCTAGACTAAGATAGGCCTTCCGAATCGCCGGCTTACTCGCCTCCTTTGCCACGTTCAACGTTTTATAGTTATTATGAACGAATGTCATAATGCGATACGTTAATAGAAGCCAGTCTGGTAGCATAAACTTACCGCGCGCCATTAACTTCGCATAAACACAATACTCACCGAAAACCTCTTACGTTAGGAAACTATCGGACAGTAACAATTGAATAACCACCAGCCGCTTACTCCTCCTCCTCAGAAGGGAGAGAAACCTTATTTTTAGATTTACTAAGATAGGCCTTGGGAATCTGCACTCAACAATCATGATGAGCCTCAAAATACTCACTTTCGCCTACTTTCGAGAGCATGATGTCATTCACGTCCTCTCTCCTGCATCCCTTTCCAGCAGCACCCTTCTTCAAGTAACGAGTAACGACCTCATCCCGGAGCTGCTTCCATGGCATGCTAAACGTGAACTCCCTCCCAGGACAAAACCCTTCAAAATTCACTACCTTTTCTCAGCAGTCCTCCTCTTCTTGAGCGCCCTGTTGATTTCTTCCTCCCAACCACCCCAAGGCTCATCTTCAGCCGCCCTCTTGTTATTGGACGAAGGAGGCGGCGTAGCAGGAGCCGCACTCTGCACAAGTTGCCACAACTTCTTCATCTCAACAGGGTTATGCCTACACCACCATCACAACATTAGGATGCTCGACGAGACTTCCCAGTGGCCTACAGCTTCAAACTGTTCTTGATGAAGTTGTTGAAGGCCTTCTCCTTCCTGGGGATGTTATCATATCCCAACAAGGTATCAACATACCCCCTCAGAGGCCCTTCATAGTTCTCCAGTACCTAACACATCGACTACTACTACCATGACCACTACTCCAAGATACCAACAACGATGATGACAACACCTACTGCTGTTACCAACCTCCATAACACTGCTCTGCCATCGATCCTGCTTAGAGCCCTCAGTGCTGGTCGAGCCAGGCTTATAAAGCTTCCCCATGTACTTCTCCGCTTCTGATATACACTTGTTGTGTGACGAGTACTCCTCACCGTAGAAAGTCTGATTGCAGTCAACGCAAGACATATACCTACCAGAACAGCGAGTCCGTACACAACTCAACTACGATGACGATGATGACGACGTAAACCTATATTACTCGCAGTGCCTCTGTTGCAGATGATTCCGCACCTTGGGCTTTCTGATGGTCTCACCACAGGCACAAACAAACGATACCATTACAGAGGAATAGAGCGACTAGCAATAACTACCACTATACCATCCCAGGCGGGAACTACCAACACAACAACGTTCATTAAGCAGCAGCAGCAATAATGCTAGAAAACCTCAAGAGACTATCGACCATCAACCACAACAAAGGACCATCATCGTTATCAACTGTGAAATTGACTATAAAATTATGTTGCAGTTTAGCCAAGTCGTTGAAAAAAATGCGTAATAAACCTCCTCAGGTGGTAACCACTATACACGGCTACCCATGGCCATGTGACAACTACGAGAATGGGAGGAATCAATGTTACTGGTGTAGACAGGAGGGCTCATACAACACCATAGTGATGATGAGCTCCCGTAATACATGTAGAATACTGCTTACAGCAGTGCTCACTCTATGACAGCAACGACAATGGTATTGAGTACTACTTCGAGAGTTTCTTCTTAGCTTCCCCCACCTCCCCCTCCAGGTCCTTTACCACCTCCCAAGCTGGCATCAAATCGTGACGACCAAAGTGACCATAAGCAGCCAGTTTCTGGTACTAACAGAACAATAGCATTAGCACACTCCTCCACGACTAGCCACCTCACTTGAGGCTCTTTTAGCTTCAAATCCCTCTGGATGCAACCTGGTCGGAAATCGAAGTTCCGTTGAACGATATCGCACAGATCCCCATCAGTGAGCCCAGGCATCACCGAACCGTATCTGAACACGATGACGGCAAAAAGTGTCATCTAAGAGGAAGAAAGAGCTCTTACGAGTCGACAAAAAGACTCAAGGGCTGGACCAGTCCAATAGCGTAGCTGACCTGAACCAAGCAACGCTGGCACAAGCCGGCGTGGACGAGAGACTTGGCGGCCCATCGAGCAGCATATGCGGCTGATCTGTCGACCTGGACACAGTTGGATAGATTAAATACGAGGCACAAACGTACCTCACCTTTGTGGAATCTTTACCAGAGAAAGCTCCGCCACCGTGAGCTCCCCAGCCCCCATAGGTATCAATGATAATCTTACGACCAGTCAGACCAGCATCACCATGAGGGCCCCCAATAGTGAACAACTTGCTGGGGTTCAAATGGTAAATAGTCTCCTCATCAAGGTACTGCTTAGGCACGATAGGCTCGATGATAAATTCCATCAAGTCAGAATGGATCTGCTCTTGGCTGACTTCAGGGCTGCCAGAAATGAGCAATACGGAGCGGAATAGGTAGTCTGATGCCCTCACTCGTGTTGGGTAGAAATTAGAATGGTGTGGATTCTAACGGGGATCATTTCACCGCTATCACCCTTAGTATACTCTACGGTCACTTGAGTCTTCCCATCAGGTCTTAGCCACTTAACAATACCGTTCTTTCTGCAAACGGTAAGCTGATGACCTAGCTTAGTGGCTAGACTATGGCTCAAAGGCATGAGCTCCGGAGTCTCATTAGAAGCGTAGCCGAACATGTGGCCCTGATCACCGGCGCCGATCTCCTCAGGGGCCTGATGATAACACGAATCACACATGAATTGGTACGGGGAAGATGCCTGCCTTGGTTCCCAATCCGTGAACAGACTGGCCAATCTCGGGGCTTTGTTCCTCCAACTTGTTGAGGACCTCCATCGTCCTGTAATCGAGTCCCTTAGTGTCGTCGTCGTAACCGATCTCTTTGCAGGCGTCACGGACGACTTGCACAAAATCCACCTAAAAACAGGAGATACCCTCAGACGACCAAGACACGATGTGATGGAAATGTGGTATGGAGTGGTACTCACCTTAGCGCGTGTGGTGATCTCGCCAAATATCATCACCATGCCGGTTTTACAGCAAGTCTCGCAGGCTACGCGGGAATCGGGATCCTGTGCAAGGCAAGCGTCCAAAACAGCGTCAGAGACCTGGTCACAGATCTTGTCGGGATGCCCTTCGTTGACCGACTCGGACGTGAAAAGAAAATGCCCCGAGTGCGGGGGGCGGATCACGGTCCCGGTCTGATTAGACATGGTCGTCAAAGGTGACATACGTGTACTAATACACTGTATATAACACTTGTTAAAGAAGAGCCCCCATGAAGGGGTGTGGTACCCCCTCGCGGCACTTCAGGATCACATTCGGTTTTTCACATCCGATTTTCAACAGTGAACTGAACATATAGGTGTTGGTAATTCTACAGAAGTCCGAAACACGGAGGGATACCATTAAGGAAGACCCGCTTTCAGTTGATGTATAGCATTGGATTAGGCGCGAAGTTACACATAAACTTTCCCAGTAAAAGTCAGTATTTTGAGGCGCGATTTTAACACGCGCATGCTGAGAATATGCGTAACCGCTCCTTTGGAAAACATCATCTTGTTGTCCATTTTACAAACGCCGTCACTTGTCAAAATTTAGCCCCTTCCGATAACAATATGCAAAAAGCGCGCGCCCTTCAGGGTCTTCTTCGAATAACTGTTGGCGAAAGCCTCATCTAAGGAGACTATTGGACAGATTTTTTTGACGCTTTTCGCGTGCCGACTTGTCAAAATGGTCTCTTCCGTGTCAGTTGAACAGAAAACTGAAAAAAGATGTCCGGTGACATTTTGAAACTCGCTACGGCCAGATTTTTGTCCAGACGAGTACTTTGGCAGCCAATACTTTGGGCCTTTTCGACACGTATTTGTCGACTTATTCAAAAGGCCAGGACTCTTGGCCCAGGAACCGAGGTACGGAGGTCTCTTGTTCAGAAGCCTTGTGGCTTCTCGACAGTCACGCCTTTAAAAACGTCAGTCTCTTCAATGACTTCTTTACGCCTTTGAAATTTAAAGTTGGGATCGAATACTCCGATGGGGCCCTGACGGTTAGGTGTCCTCACATGGTCTTGAGTACACCTGAGTTCCGTTAATTATCAGCTCATAATACTTCTCTCCTAGTACAGAATTCCTACCGCTGCGGATCACTATCGATTTTACGAGTATCGATTCGATTGCCCTTTGCGACTCATTTATGCACTGCTACAACTTATGACTAACTTACATCTTACGACTTACAACGTTACGTGTACGAGTACAACGTTACAACGAGTTGCAAGGCACATGAGACAAAATGTGGGTGGGATGAAATCCCACGTGATTTACATAGAAGAGGTTTGTTGCCCTAAGGCTTTGTACTTCGTCTGACGTTTCTGCCGTGATCTCGCTACTCTTACACGTTAACTCGTAACTCAACCCTCTTCTAAGATAGATAGATAGATAGATAGATAGATAAGTTACCTCGCCTATACGCTCACCTAGACGACATAATGATTGATCCTAAATGTTTTGCGAATCCGCTACCACAGAGGAACATCGAGAATATTCACGCATCTAGCCCGTAGAGGACTGAGAAACGGATCAATTGTCGCTGTCGCTACTAAGAGTGATTACAGAAACTTTACTAGTAGTAGTAGACACCGACTGGATGGAGTTAGAGGAAGAGGGAGCAGTCGTAGACACGGTGACGACGGAGGCGTCAGAAGCGTCGGCGGAGGAGTCGTAGTCCATGGTAGAGATGTAAGAGGAGGATGATGAGGAGGAAGAGGAAGAAGACGAGGAAGAGGAGGAGTACTCCGTTTCACGGGACGAATGAGATATTACCGGCGAAGAGAAGCTGGACCGCTGGTACAACTACCATCTTCGCATCAATAGGGCCAACAATGGTCTTACGAGCCTTACAAGAGGCACAAAACTTTGCCTGGCAAAGCCGTGAATAGTAGTGGTTTCGACTGAAAGGGGCCTCGGCGGTTGTCGAAGAAAGGTTAATGGAAGTAGAGAATCCCGACCAGCCAAGATTCGTGAGCTATCGGTCGGTACCGAACCACACCCTTCGGGTTGTATGTATGCGCACAGATCTTCGCAACTGAAGGAGTGCTTCAGCGTCCAAGTCGTCTCGAATCGAGCACGGTCGAGACTCCTGGCACTAGTACGAAGTAGGCAGTGCCCATAGGACAGTTCTACCTGGTCGTCACTATTCAGTTGCTGAGTATTCTTGTTCGCTAGATTGTCATGAACGACCTGCTGAAGGGAGCTGTTTCATCCCACGCTGTAAGCACTTACAACCTACCCGTATATTGTTGGTTCCCACTGGGAACTTCCCAGCTGAGCATTATCCACCGCCGCAATAGCATGGAAACCCTGTGGAATTTGGTTATGCTCAACACAGCTGCCATCGGCGCTAGCCTGATTATCAGATAGGTCGATCTCAGCGGCGCGTATCTGAAAGAATGACATTTACTAGAATAAGGTTCGGGAGGCTCGCCATTCCTGCTCTCTGTGTAGCAAATAGCGGAAACAGGCGCGTGAGTGTGATCTCGAACTGGAAACCGTTCAAGGGACTGTCATCCTCCACTTCGTCCTCAAACATCAATGTAAATGCCCAGTCATTGCGATGCGGAGAACTGATGCAGCCGCACGATTTCTCACCGGGTTGGTCATCAGTGATGACTCACCACCTAGTAGTGAGCATTAAAGTGCAATGTACTGAGTGCATGATAGAGGGCAAAGCCCTAGATAGTAGTG